TGTTGGTGGTGTTGCTGATGATGGCTATTCTAACAGGGGTGAGGTGGAATCTTAGCGTGGTTTTAATTTGCATTTCCTTTATTGCTAGAGATGGTGATGACCCCCCCCTTTAAATGAAAATATAAAATTCCTTTTGTCTAGAACTGTTATTAGCTATTTATGTACACTGGCTCCATAAAAGTCTTTATTAGTGGAACCCTCACCACAGAGGCTAAACCTCTTCCTTGTATTGGGGCCTCTTTACCTGGGTCACCTCAGTGTTTAGAGGTAACTGATGGAGACCTGAGGTTCCTTAATGGGAAGCTGGCTCCATGTTTTCCTTACATTTGCACATCTACAAATGTTTGTGATACTTGTTTTCTGCAAATGAGCATTACTAATCATGTGTTATTTTGAAGACTCCAAGTCCTTCTCATGTAGGAAATGATGAATGCGGTAGTTTGGAATCCTGTGAAATGTAGTGTTTTTGTTTTTTTGATGACTGAAGATTATGCCATTAGTTTGAGTTTAGTTTACTCTTTTGGGGATTTATATTCATATTCTCCTTTGATAATATAAAACTCTCCAAGAAAGAGACAGCTTTCCATAAAAAAATAGACTTTAAATGACTGATTTTCAAAATTAAGAGTTATTTACAATTCTGCTTACAGTTATTAAATCTTTTACAAAGTAATACAGAAGCAGTCAGCTCATGGCATAGACTTGATGCCAAATACATATTCTGAATTGAAGAATAAATGAGTGAATAATTATGTTTCTAACTGGAAAGGTTTAGTTGTTGAAGTTTTCCCAGGTAGTACCAGAAGGTTCTGTAGGATTCATTTGCTTTAGTGCTTCTTGTAAGTTGCTCAGCTAGCAAATATTCTAATAAGACTTCACAATTCCCAACACTTAGTAATCACCTTTGGAGAATTTATCTAAACAAACCAGTTGGCATCCTCCGAATGCCACACCAGTCTCTTGAGCCTCTGTAACTAATGAGAACTTTTAAATCACTTGTCACCAACATACAATGAATTGATCTGCATGTTAATCTTGACTTTTGATCCTTTGTGGATTAAAAATTAGCATGGCCACAAATTAATTTCCACTTCTGGCAGTCCTGGAATAAAAATGAAACTCTGTATCCATAAATTCTAATTGCATGAATTACTTACTTCAGCATGACATTTTTAAAAACTGTATCCACATAGTGTTGCATCTAACACTTTAGAATTCTTGCATCTTGAATTAATCTCCCAGTTGATCCTCATAGTATCCTTGAATTATGGCCTTTTAAAATCTTTTTAAAATGATGTTGACTTTCAGAGAAGAGAGGCAGGCATTGCCATCTCTTCCTGGCAAAGAGTTAATGAAGGGAATTTAATTGTGTTGCCAATTAACCAGTATATGTACTAAAATTTCCACTGACTTCTGTAACTGTTTCTTTTTTAGTATAATATATTTTGTCACTTGTTATCAGTTATGTCCTACAAATGTACAGGATACTGGTAAGAAGCTGAGTAATTGTTGCTGACAGACCAACAAGTACTTTTAAATTCATCATTAACCCACCAGCATATTTCCACAGCGAATTGTCCATGTTTGTTAAACTCAAATGACGTTCACCAAAAATTCAAAATCTACTAAAATGCAATGATTTTCCAATTTCCTTTTAAAATACGTTTGTAAGATTCATCCAGGGGAGTACCCATAGCCTTTTGTTTGATGAAAAGTTATAGGGTTAAAAGTATTGATTTGAAGCAAAGTAGATTAGACTTCTGTCTAATATTTGTTATATTTATTACTTACAAGAGAAGTAAAACTAATCTTTAAGGGTGTGTAAACATAACATGTACTTAATAATAATTCAAGTCAGCTATCCCTGGGTTGTAGCTCACATACTAGTGGAAGTTCACTCTTTTTTCTCTGATATAAGTTACACATCTGGTAGGACTAGGCTTGCTGTAGTCTGATTCCTTCCCCAAATACTAGGACTCACACTTTCCTGCTAGACTTCATAGAGATGGCTCTTCTGCTTTCTTCTTCTTCTTTTTTTTTTCAACCTCCTCACAGAGCCGTTGGCACCCTGGGTGGGCGTCTTTCCCCCAACCCTGAGCATAGAAAAATGGGTGATGGAAGGTGGTCAATATGCTAGATGATTAGGGACAGGTCTTATTTGACCAAGGATAGATGTTGCCATGACTGGGGAGTACAGCTTCTCCTTTCTCTCTCTGTGTTGAGTATGATTGTGCAGAGAGAGGGGGATGGAAAAGCAGAGACTTTGAAGAAGGAATTTAGTCGTGGTTGCCTTCACAAAGCCCAGCAGATCAGACTGAACAACCTGGATGAAGGCTAATTAATGTCTCCGGTGCTCTTTATTGGGCCCTTCTGAGGCAGTATTACTACCCGTGTCCACAGGCTGCAAGGAGTAAGCTGGCCCAAGCATACAGCCACCACCTTCCCACAACTTCTTGGCAAGGGTGGCACAAACTAAAGACTTTGTGTTCCCAAGAACCCTTGATCAGACTTTGAATTATTCAGCAAAGTATATAGAATTTACTGGTTCTGATACATAAACCAAATACATGGCACAATTTAAATAGGAAGTTTTGAGATTTTTTTGCAAAGCCAAGTATTCACTGAATGCTTTAGTGCATGTTTATTTGAAAGATCTAGCATATGCTTTACATATTTTTGGTGGGATTTTTATACTTTAAATCACATGGGATATAAGAAACTGACTAGGTGAAAACTATCCTCTGTGAAGGTATTTAGCCAGGGGTTGGGGGAGCCTGGTCCTCATGTTTTTCATGTTAGCATCTATTTACTAGCCTCATGTTTTTCATGTTAGCATCTATTATCCCACCCTGAGTGATACATTCGCATTTTGCATGCATAAAAGCAGAAAGCAACACAGCAACAACAGGGCCTTCAATTGATTTCTTCTGTTTTCTTTTTCAGCAAATGTCCCCAGCAGGCCACAGGTAAGAGTTAACAGCTTGGTTGGCTCAATTGTTGATGATCCCAATTTACAGTAAGCAGATTAGCAACCATTGATTTTAGTCTTACTTCATTTTCCGTGTAAATAAGTCAACTTGCTTGTCATTTAAATGTTAGTTGATTCTGTGTAACAGTTTTTCAATCTGGAGAGGAGTGATTTAGGAGGGGAGTTGTACTCCCAAACCAGATTCTTCTGGATAGCAAAAATACCTGTATTTGATCCTCTTTGTCCTAATGTCATGTTATGCACTATATAAAGTCACATTGGGTAGATCTGGTCAATCGCTTATCTCCCATTGTCTTTTTATGGTAGCTGTCACAGATACTGACTTTAAAAAACTGTCTGATACCACAGTGGTGATACAAAGATTGTTATTTGGAGGGGAAAATTTCAATTTTTCATTTAAAAAATTTGTTGAGATCTGTTAGTAGTTATAGCCTTAAGCCTTCCAGTATTTTCCTTATTAGGAACTCTTAGTATTAATGTGCTTCAGGTCCACATTTTCTTTGGAGAACATTTTCTTCCATGAATGTGTTGATTAGTCTTTTTGAAATGGTGACCGTTTTGATTGCCTTTTTGGCAAGAGGATCTGAAATCTTAGCTAGAAAACAAGGGATTGTGAAGTAGACTAGTGATGCAATGGGGAGAGCTAGGTGTCTTCTGATTGCTTCTGCTATTTTAGTGAATTGGAAGCCAAGACTTTAGAAGGCAATGAGGTAAGGCAGAAGATGGCAGAGGTGTAAGGAGAGACTGCAGGATGTGCTTGGAGAACAGAGGCACACATTCCCCATTAAAGTGTATCACTTAATGTGCCAGTGATGAATTTAACAGGAGGTCAGCCTTGTGTATAGACCTCTGGCCACATTCAAGTTCATAAGCACAAGCACCAATCAGAGTTGACTGAGTTTTGCATTTAATAATTAAAAAAAACTTGAAGTTATGGTTTCCCACTTAAGTGCAAGTCAAGAGAAGAGGCAAAAAAGTGATTATGGTGATTGAATTGGGACCTTAAGCTCAATGGTGAGAGAAGTGAGGACACATCTGGTATAGGAGGCAAAAAAAGAAAAGAGGCAAGTACCTCTCAATTGCAGTATCAAAGATGGATGTGGTTCTACCCTATCAGAAGCAGGCTGATAAGTTAGAAGTGGTTGTCAGAGGTTGAATGATTGAAATTGAAATGTAGGAGGAGCTGTAAGTGCTGGTAATCATGTATATTTTAGACAAATGATTGAGAAGGGTAGAGGACAGGATCACTAAGAGAGAAACTCAAAGAACTGAGAGATCAGAATGTTGGCAGAGTCAGAGTCATCTCTGTGGGGGATGAAATAACTAAGACTTAAAATAACTTTAAGGTGAATGACATTGAGACATTTGTTTTTCTGTAAGTGAGAGAACGTGACTTAGATGGTTGGCGTATGACTGCATAATGGGCTGTTTAGTCTGATGGTGTGACATGCAAATTAGTATTTTTAGAGAGAAGAGAAAAAAAGCTAACCTGAGTTTCCAAGATGCCTAGAAGAGGATTGTGGGAAAAAGTCACATGCAACTTGAATAGGTTATGGGAGAAGCTGTCTTCAGGGACAGGCACATGTTGATTAGAGAAAGCAGGGCAGGAAGCATTCCAGGAAGAGTTGGATGTGGTTTTTATCTGTGATGGACCACAGGGTCTAAAAGGCACAAGAGAAGGCATAGTGAGGATGGAACATGGGGACACACTAGGGGGTGTGTAGATCTCCATATGGAACAGAATGTGAGGGGGGAAAGGAAAACCAGGAATCTGGAACACACCATCAATGTTCGCTGAATTTTTACTCATGCCAACATGGCAATGAAATGTTCAAAATGTTCAAAATATAGACACAGGTTTAGTGGAGCATAGGCTTGTAGACAAGAGTGATGTACTTTCTGCTTTCGGTAAAGCTGGAAGGAGCAGAGCCCTGGGTAGCTTTTCCATAGACTGCTTTAGAATCTGTAGTTCCAGAACTTCATGCCAATGTCCTTCATAAATAAAGGGCAAGGACAAGGACAGGGGTGTCTTTGCTGAAGTCCTGAAAGGCCCCTCAGGATTTATGAGGCATGGCCCCATTTGGATGATTTTATTTCAGAGTGATTTAAAAATAAGTATTTCTAAATTCAAAATGCTTTTAAAAGACCTCTGCTTGACCTTCCCTTGGGAAGATTGATTGGATCTAGAGCCTCTTGCCTGGAACATTTAAATTTAATAGAAACCTCTGCAAAACCTTGGATTAGGATTCCTGTCTTCTCTTCCCCCTTTCTTGACCCCAGCTTGACACTGAGAGGTTGGAATTGTCAGGTGTTCCTTTACAGGAGACCTCTCATGGTCCCCCAGGTAGGGACAAGGTGATTGTACCTGCCTTACACACTCACCATTGGTACTTTCCACAGAAAGAGGGAAAGTCCTCTCAATTTTAACTTGGTTTCTAGCCCGAGAAAGAAAGAAAAAAAAAGTCAAGACTTTCTTCTATGTTGGCTGTGGTAATAAAATGGTGACTTCCACATGATAGGGAAGAATCTTATCCCAGGGAACAAAAGTAACAGTTCAGAGGGTATTAGTTCCCTCTGAAGACAGCAAAATAAGGTTTCACTAGTTCTGAAAGATACACTTCTATTTCCTTGAAGAGTTGACAGTCTGCTACCTGTGATGCTTTATGGAAATGTTTTGACAGATCTATTTTCCCTTCCCACAGGCAATGTGAAGTGTTCATCTAGCCAACCAACATTTCCTGTCTCACAGTGTTGCCCTTCTGTGCAAATGCTAATTCCAAGTTCCATTTAATCCGAAACTCCATGGCTCCTTGACACATGTTGTTGAGTATTGACTGTGTGTTCTACTGAGGGAGTAAAACACTGACTATCCAAAGAGAAAAGGATATTTTGTTTTTATAATAACCATATATTATTGTTTTCTTCTTCCCTTTCTATGCAACTGTAAATTAATGAACAGAGAGGTATTTGGAAATGGTTATACATTTGTCACTGATTTGTATAATGTATACAGCTTTGGGAAAGTGGGTGGGGGCTTTCTAATATGATAATGTCTTTTTAATAATGGTGACAAAAATTGCATATGAATTAGAAGACCACTTTACATTTTTACATTCCTTCTGCTGTTCATATTAATCTTGTATAATAATCTCATTTATTTCTTTACCTCTTTTACCATTGCATTTTGGTTATTTATAAGTCATCAACCATATGACCAAGCAGATTCCGTGTACTTGTGTTCATGATTTGCCCAAATGAATAAGTTCATATATTTGAATCAAATATTATATATATATATATATGGATTAAGTGACAGCCCTGAGTATTCTGTTTAACTTTATTTGACATTATATACTTATTTTGTTAGTGACCACTTGGATAACCACAATAAAAATCCTGTGGGCCTAAATGGCATGTCTGTTGGGATTGTTTTCCTTTTTTTTCCTTTCTCTCTATAAGTAGATCTTGATCTCTTTATTTATTTCTTATCCCTATCTATATGATAGAGAAGACTGAATTCTAATAATCTCAAAGATCATTTTCCAAAGGTGGTCCATTTATGCATATTTTCATTTTGACACAGAAACAAAACTTGGTACAATTTTTGTACCAAACAAAACTAGGTACAATCCTAGTTCTCAGGCTTTGATTTTCATTATTAAATGCACATCAGACCTGTTGTCATACCAGAACACATCATCGTCTTTCATTCCCTTTGAAGAGAATTTTATGGTTGTTTTTGGATTTTTAAGTCCCTTATAATTATTAAAACTCCCAGTTGTTTTCTTTCTAAAAGCAGACTCTGATTTAGTGCATGTCTCATTTTACCTTTTGGGTAAGTGGACAGATGTCTTATTACCTTCACTTGGTCAACACATCTAGGAAAGATGTTTATCAAAAGCCTATATGGCTGCTTCTTCAGAAGAATGAAATTAGTGCTTTGATGATTGTACCTCAACCCCTGAGTGCATTCAATTAGGTGTTTAGTTCCATTTGTTACTTAACATTTAATTGATTCATTGTAAACATGTTATTTAATTACCAAATGTAGAGAAACCAAAAATAAAAGTGAAAATAATATGTTTTGATTCAAACATATTAAAACATCAGGATATTTTAACTGTGGGCTCTCTTTCATTTGGATCTGGACAGAAGGAGGCTTAAAGTTAGAAATTGCTATTCTTTTAGGATAGGTTGGGTGGGTTGGGGGGCAAGGGAGTCTATTTGCAGCATAGATATTTTGAGAAGAAAATTGTTTTATATAAGAAGAAAGCCATGACCACCTCTCTACCTCAGACCCATCTTCCTCTGTCGTGTTGGAAATAGCTTTATGCCACTGAAGTTTGCAAAGCCTAGAGTTTTCATCAGGCCATACCATACCCAAGAAAAGTACCTATTTAAGGAAACAAAATTCCCTAAACTCAGAACTCCAAGTTGTAGCTTTGTTGTCTTCCTTGTTCTTACTTTGAAAAGTCATGTATTAATTGTTATTTGCCTGTATTTGTATGCAAACTATTCTCTTTCTGCTGTTTCAATAAAGCTACATAAAACACTACATTGTAACCCTCTAAGTAATAATAAAGGCATATATTACACTAACAACAATGGGAAATAAGTATATTGTTCTTTTGAAATATGTGGTAAAGAACTAATCATAGACTGTCATCTAATCTGGTTACATGTTGTATTTTTCATCCTGAATAAAAGTAATTTTAACACAAAATGACTTTGATATTTTTCAGCTGTGACCAATGGACTCTGTCCTTGAATGTACACGGATGAAAATAAACTAGAGAAAGAGCATATCCTCAAATCTACCTATTTTCTGGAAATTTCTCTCCTACATACTAATCCAGTCATCTTTTGCTCTCATTATCTCTTTCTTATTCTCTTTCTTGTATATAAAATTATATAATTCTGTTTCCTATATAGATTGAAAGTTTATTGATTAGGAAAAATGTTGAATGTCAAGACTATATGCATAAAGTCTGTTAAGTCTTTACTTTTATAATGAGATATTGTTGGTATTTAGTTGACTACTCTCTTGAATCCACTTTTAGCTTGAGGTGCTAAATTCTTGTATTTTTCATCTGTGCACTGGAATTTAACCATTCTGGCAGCAGATTTGATCAATTTTTGAAGTGATCCAATGGAAAGTAGTGTCAAAAATCATGTTACTTAATTCAAAAATTAAAACTCCTGTATGAAACAGAAAAATCCCCCCAAATATAGTTTGTTTAAAAAGAAAGCTGATACAGTCTGGTGAACTAACATTTTAAACAATTGTTTTCCAGCAAATTACTGAGTAGATAGTTAAAAATGGAAGTGAGAAATAAGAATGGGAACAGAATGGAGGCAGTGAACTTGTTTAAAGTATACTGTACATAGGTATGGAATTACCACAAGGAAACCCCCATGTATTATTAATGTATACTAATTCAAAATATAATAGTATGTAAATATTTTGAGAAATGGAAGAACAAATTTTTAAAGTTTTGTGTTTACACTAAGCCTTAGCTTGATATACATCACTGAAATCACATATATATTTTAAAGCACGTAGTTTGCTCTTGGATACACACATACACACATACACACACACTGTTTCTAATGAAATAGACCAACTTTTCCAGAGGCCTTTCCAATTTCATTAGTTGAGAGCTTAATGAAAATACACTCACCACTAACACAACTGCTTACACCTATAGGTAAGGTCCCAATCTTCATTGACATCTACTGTCAGCTTGTGTTTTTGAAGAAACCTGCTCTGGAGGCCAGGAGACAAAAATCATAATTACAGTATATTCAATACCTACAGTTTCAGTTCTCTATCACAATAGTGTTGCCTGGCAGCTGTGAAACCTCAGTAGTAAGCATTGATTTAGCTCATGGGATATGTGCTCCACCTAGCTCAGGAAGGACTCTTGTGGTCTCAGCTGGGTTTATTGACACATTTGGGATGAGTTTGGATCACCTCAAGGTTATGCCCTGGTGGCTGGCTTGCCCCCATGTCCAGGGTTTCCTGGCTATTGAGTGGTATGGGATGGGCAGCCTAGGATGACTGAGGAAACTTAGCTGATTTTCCTCAGCCATGAGCAGCCCTCTCCTGAGTGTGCTCTCATGTAATAGCAGAGATATGGGATTGCTAAGAACAGACACATTCTTACTTCAGTCAAATTCTGTTGGTTAAAAGAAATAGGACAAGACTAAGAATGAGAAATAGATTCTACCATAGTAAGTGAGAGTAACTGCAAAGTCACAGGACCAAAGGTGTAGCTTCACAGAGGGTAATGATTGGAGCCATTAGGTTCCACCATATAAATTTTAAAGTAGGCAATATAGAGAACTTAAGGCCAAGATACTGAAATATCCAGTTCCTTGGACCTCACATCTACCACCTGGATGAAATGGGAAGGAAGCACCCCCTTCAAAACTCCCTAAAACACAGGTCAAGAACATCAGCCCCTCCAGCCCAGGATAGCAATCCAATTTTAGAAAAGACCCACAGAAAAAGTTGAAATATTCATGCCCAAAATCTAAAGGTCAAATTAGGGAAAAGAAAAAAGAGAAAAGGGGGGAGGAGGGAGGGAGAAATTCTAGATGAAAAATGAACTGAGGGGACTATTCTAAACTCACAAGGTTTATTTGAATGGAATTGTTAAAAGAAGAGGAGGCTTTTCACTTTTCCCAAATGAGTAGGGCACATGTGATGTTGTGCCCCTCCCTAGCGGCTGCTTGGAAACATGCAATTTGTTTTCAATTTGCCTAAACTTTCAAACTTGGTATTACTCTCTTATTTTGGAACCCTTCACATTGTGAGATTTTAGAATCTTTGCTGTCAACATGTATCCATATTTTCACATACTCTTTTACAGACAGCTTATTTGTTGATACTGTTTTGAATTTTGCATATGAGTAATTAGGAGAAGTAAACTGATGACTTGTATTCAGCCTCACTCTGGCCTCAGTCCAGAAATCACAAATGTTGAATTTGTAATTGTATTAGTTGGGGATCTGCTGAGAAACAGAAGAAAACTATATAGAGAGAGCTAGGTAGAAAAAAATTTATTTTGAAAGGTTGGCTCACAATTATGGAGGCTGAGAAATTCCACCATATGCTGTCTGCAAGATTGTGTGGGTATAGTCCATACTTACAAGTCTGAAAACCAAGAGAGCCAATGGTGCTAGTTCCAGTCTGATTCCAAAGGCCCAAGGAGTAGAAGCACCAATATCTGAAGAAACTAGAAGATGGATTTCCCATCTCAAGCAGAAAGATCAGATCTGTCCTTCCTCCTCTTTAATATTCTATTCCAGTCTTCAGTGTATTAGTAAATGCTTACCCACATATGTGAAGGTGGTCTTCTTTATTCAATCTAATAATTCAAATATTAATCCCTTCCAGAACCAAGCAGACACACCCAGGAATAGTATTTTACCAGCTATGTGGGCATCCCTTAGTCCAGTCATGTTGACATATAGAATTAACCATTACACTAATGAAATGAGTAAGTTCCCAGGAGTATATGCTATGGAGTATAGTTACAATTAATTCCTGTTATTATTTTAAGACCATTTTTCAGAAACATTAAAATACTGATTTTTAAATCTTTGCTCCAATTATTTTTATCTTTTTCTTTTGATTTAGATAAAATAAGATGACACTGCTATATTTGTTGGGAAGAATTAAAATCATTCTAGTATAACTCTAGTTCAAGTGAGCTTTTATCAAAATCCAGAATAGTCTTGCACATTATACTCTATGGATATCAGAAGCTGTCTTTACCCTGTGGGCAAGCTCTGATCCCACACATGTTGCTCATGATTCCCGTACCCACATTCTTGTCTCATGAGGTCCTTGTGTGTCCCGGTCTCATCTTCCCATCTCCATATACAGGTTTATATTGTCAATGATGTGTAAAATTCTCCTTAGTACAAAGCAAAATGTGTGTTGGATCCCCAAAATGTCAATGATACATTAATGATATTTAAAAGCTGTAAAGCACTTTATGATTAATGGGAGATGTTAACTATGGATCAGCATTCTGCCTTGATTTGAAAATTCATGGCGATTACATTATCTAAATGCCTGGAGTGTGTGAGACACTGTTCAAGTTGCTAAAAACAGAGAAGGAATAGTCCCTGCCCTGAGGTGTTCCTAATCTAATGGATAAACCCAGTGATGAGCAAGTGGTTGCAATGATAGTAATGGGACCTGGCAGGGGGATTAATAGGTCCCTGTAAGAACATAGAGTACAACCCCACAGGAGAATCTCTAAATGTAGAGATACAACTCAAGATAAAAAGTGCAGGGAATTCACCACCACCTGTGGAAACATTCTGAAAACTGATGTCTCGATGCACTCGTTGGAAGAGTACTAAAAAGACATCACAGTGCTCACCAAATGTGCAATGGCTGCAGCAGTATTTCCCCAGTAAAAGGACTCCCTGGTTAAGTGATTTTGAGAAACTCTGCATGCACTAGTGCCCTTCGGAGAATCACAGTGCACATGAACATATTACAGCTTTGAGAAATCCTAAGAAAGGAACCTGGTTAAATGCATATCACTCTCTAGTACTAAAGCATTTAACCACAGAACACTCTTTTTGTATCTTACCTAGTAGCATCCAGCAGTGTAAATGTTGGGTGCTGAATTAATAGTATATGTTTTCACTTCACAAAGATGTATAGGTCGAGATCCATGAAGTCTATAAAAATGACAAATGAATGATAATACATTTATCATATTAAGGATTTTAAAAAGAAACTCAGCCTTGTATGACAACCAGCACATTCTTTATTTTTATTTTTTTTTCTTTTACTCATATGTGCATACAATGTTTGGGTCATTTCTCCCCCCCT